TATTTATTTATTTATTTATTTATTTATTTATTTATTTATTTATTTATTTATTTATTTATTGCTTTAATGATTTATGGCTTTATTCCTTTATTCCTTTATTCCTTTATTTATTCCTTTATTTGTTGCTTTATTTATTGCTTTATTTATTGATTGCTTTATTCATTATAGGTTTATTTACTTTTGTTTTGTTTGTTTATCATTTTGTTTATTTTTTGCTTTATTCCTTTATTTATTTATTTATTTATTTATTTATTTATTTATTTATTTATTTATTTATTTATTTTTCCTTCATTTATTTATTGCTTTATTTCTCATTGTTTTATTAATTTATTTTTTTATTGTTTATTTATGGCTGTCCATAAAACATAGAATAAAAACATAAAATCATAGACCAAAACCTGGATGTAAAACAGGCGAAAAATTTCCTGGAAATGTAAATCAAACTACAAATTAAGGCAAGGAAGTTAACAGGATAGGTATCCTCTAGACAACAAAAATCCTCAGAGCTACAACATACTTTTAGCTCCCCATGTTAAAAGTTATGTCTTAATGCATTTGGGAAAACTGGAAGAATGAGGAGGATTGTCTCAGCTCTCTGAATAACATATTCCATAAAGTGAGGGGGGGGGAGCCCTCCTTCTGGATCCTGTCAATCAAAACTCCATAAACAATGGATATGCAGCATGCCCTCCCTGTTTGTCTTGGGTGCAAAAGGAAGATATAATTGGAGCAAGATTCATCAGAATTACACATCCGATCCAATGAAGGGTTTTAAAGGCGATATCCGATCCATTGTGTTGGACTTGTGAATCTTCCATTGGATTTAGAAGAATCTCAGCATCTTTTTTGCATTGTGGAAACCAAAGGTCATAATATGGAGCAGACCTCACTCAACAAATGTCTCGCTTAACAACAGAGATTTGGGGCTCAATTATGGTCATGAGGACTATCTGTAATTAGCATTGGTTGGAATTATGCTAATATGAACAGCAAGTCTATGAATTTAGAGAAGTAGATGTGAGAAATCCTGGGGAAAGCACTGTGGTTTGAATTTATGATTTAACTGTAGTGTCATGAGAAAAAAATCTAGCCCTTTTTTTGTTTGAGATTTCAAAGGTTCCTTAATGGTTCCTTAAAAAAATTCCTTCAATTTAACATGTACACTTTGAGGAAAATGTGGCTATCAAAAAGAGAGTCCTGCTTTTAAAGAAGAAGACCTCATGATATTTGCATAAATCAATGGGCTATAAAATAACTCTTAGAAAGCAAGGTGAGCTTGTATTCTTTAGGAGATTCAGCAGGAAGCCTCCCTCCCTTCCTAACTCCCTCCCTCCCTCGCTTCCCACCTTCATATCACAATATAAACCATTTCTCATCCTTCTAGAACAAGTCAGCTTTTCAGTCTTACATCCACCATCCAGATCTTTGAGCAAACTTCTCAATAACAATTGCTTATTTATTGCCTATTTTTTGTTTTATTTATTTATGTATTGTTCATTTATTGATGGCTTTATTCAGTATAGGTTTATTTATTTTGCTTTGTTTATTTTTTACTTTATTTATTTATTTATTTATTTATTGCTTTATTTATTTATTTTTGTTTATTTATTTATTGCTTTATTTCTTACTGTTTTATTAATTTATTGCCTTGTTTATTCATTTATTTTTGCTTTATTTATTGCTTTGTTTCTTATTGTTTTATTAATTATTGCTTTGTTTATATATTTGTTTGTTTTTGCTTTATTTATTGATTTGTTTCTTATTGTTTTATTAATTATTGCTTTGTTTATATATTTGTTTGTTTTTGCTTTATTTATTGATTTGTTTGTTTATTGCTCTCCTCTTGAACCTCAGATAGGGACCTTAAAAAGTCAGAATCAAGATGTTATCAGGATTCAGGTGCATCTGAAACGAAAAATCACACCTGGTTTCTCTAAAATTGTGTTCTTACATTTCGGCATAGCTAGAATTGAAAAGAAAAACAAGAGGAAATTCATAGTATCTGTCTAAACAGGTTTTCTCTGGTTTGACATATAAAGGTTTGAAGAAAATGTAAAGATGAAAAATGAATCCTGATAATAAAGAGGATCATTTCATGATGGTATTTGCATATGTCCAGTGAGGTATAAAGAAGCTCCTTGAAAAACAGGTTCAGTGGCGACTTTGTATCTATT